GCACAAATCCGCTTATGAATTATAAAAATTAGTAAGACCGCTAAAGTGCAAACAAACTATTTAGCTCCGCAATTAGTGGATTTGAACTTCAGCGGGCTGGTGCCCACCACTAGTAAGAAGGGCAAGTGATGAAATATTGTACAGTGACTGCTGGATATGGGCATCAGTGACCCTGAAAGGAAGAAGCACGTATAGAAGATGGATGGATGAATAAATATAACATTGTTCTCTCAGTAAATGAGCCATAATTGATTAAGCAAACACTTTTAAATCATGAAATACTATGTGTACACAACAATAATGAATAAAACAAAAATAACTGTTTTCATGGGGTCCATGGTTATTCAGAGTTTCACAGAAAGTTAGGGACACAGAGAACTTCATGCAGCCAGGACAACCCATCAGAAAAGGAAAGTCCAGGCTCCTYCCACCATGGAGATGAGGTCAGAGGTCTSTGACTGGCTGGAATTTATAACCTTGCACGTAGACTGTCTAAACAGAAAAGTTTTCATGCGAGTGGCACGCATGTATACATCCTCTTGAAAAAATGTATTAGTCATGTTAGATACTGATTTTAAAAGCACTACACCATTTTCTTAGTTTTCCTTTTTTAAGTATTGACTTTTATAATCCATTGTTTAACTATTGTTCTGTCTTGATTAAAATAGCTTAGATACATGCCCGAAACACCATCACAACACATAAGAAACTGTGTATAAAACATAAGGTGAGCATTGCTATTCAGAGTGTCTGCGATTCAGCCGTAGGCCAGTAGTGGGCGTACCAGGCACTGAAGAACATGTYCTTAYAGCCGGGTCTTCYRGTWTTCATTCAGCGTGGGTTTCCTGCTTGCACTGACRGCATTAAACCTCCGTTCATTTCCAGTCACTGGTGTTGTACGGTCCTCATTCTCTTCACATTTAAATCTATTCAACATTTATGGGGTTTCATCTTGATTTCAGTTAAYGAACACTTAATTTTCTTACACTCTTAWAACCGGGAAATTAAATCCATGTCTGATGTTTGATTCCATCAGAAGCATAGATCCACATGGTCCGTGTTCCTACAGAAAAAATACTTAAATTAGTTAGTTGAAATACAAACAGTGTGAATTAGTGTTTTTTGAAACCCTGTCAAATTGACAATTTTCGGCTCTGTTTCTGTTTCTGTACAATGCATTGTGACATTATAATCTGTTTAAACTTGCAGGTTTGGAGCCATTCAGAATCGGCCAGTTCACAAACTTTATAAACATTGGAGAGCGCTGCAATGTGGCTGGGTCACGCAAGTTCGCCAAACTGATCATGGCTGGACAATATGAGGTTGTTAGGAATATATTTTAATAAAATCACAAAAAGTAAATATATACGATTTAATTWATTTTCACTCTTTCAGCTGAGATGGTCTTAAAAACTATACCTTTTGTTGTGAAAGTGTTTCTGTGCTTGTTCTCCAGGAGGCTCTGAGCATTGCCAAAGCCCAGGTGGAGATGGGAGCTCAGATCTTGGACATAAACATGGATGAGGGCATGCTGGATGGACCGACAGCTATGGCCAGATTTTGTAACTTGATTGCCTCWGAGCCAGATATTTCACGGGTAGGACATGCAAAAATAAACTAAAGTAAAAAACTTGGGGAAAAATAGAAATCACTTGTTTCTGCACATGTTCTTATATATAACAGATAATGATGAGGAACACTTGGACTAAATATTTTAGTAATTGCATTTGTTTTTGCCTGTAACTGTTAGCAAAATATCTTTTGAGCCATTGAAATACTTTTTTTTGAAAGTATTAGAAACAAATCTTTGAATGTACATCTACAACAGCAAATTTTTGGAGTTAGCCTGATTTAGGATGATCACCACAGCTAA